CATCAGAAGTGATATACAACTATAGAATTTTAATTTGACTTTGAATAAATGAGTTTTTGGGCTTAAAAGAAACTGTATGCTGTAGGGAGAGTTTTTTTTAAATATATATTACCGCAGCAGTGTTCAGTGGATTAACTGAACATTTACTAGATTGTTCATTTACTAGATTAAAGGTGAAGACCCAACTTTATGTATGTTTTGTAAAATTCCTTTATCTGTCAAACATTTTTTATTACATTGTCCTGGATTTAACGCAAACAGAAGGCTCTTTTATGAAGTTACTTCTTTGAAGGACATATTTAATGAGATTATGCCTGAAAAGGTTCTGGATTTTTTATCATATGTTAATTAAAAAAAAATATATTGTATAATATGACTTCTTGTTTATATTTGTTTTGTTTTTGTTGTATTTATATGATGTTTGTATTTTTGTAAATGAATTTTTGCCATGAAAATAGCTCTGACTGCTGACATGGCATGAAATAAAATAATCTGAATCATTTACTAGATTAACGATCGATCAATCAACAAATTAAGCTCACTCATAAGGTCATAAATTATTAAAATGTCATTCTAATTTGACAATATGGAATTCCAAAGCTGACTTAATTAAAAATAAATAAATACATAAATAAATATAGGCTATGGAGAAATGTAAAAAAGCAAAAATACATAAATAAATATACAAAGAAATGTAAAAAAAAGTACAAATAAATTAGTATTTTTACTTTTATTTCCTTATTTATGTATAATTGTAGTTTTTTCACACATTTATTTATTTATACATTTATGCATTTATTTATTTCCACTTTTATTTATTTCCTCATTCATTTATGTATTTATGCTTTTATGTCTAAATTTATTTATTTATACATTTATTTATTTCCACATTTATTTATTCCAACATTTCTTTCTCCGTATGCTAATGTGGGGGCCGTGTTTTAACTCAGACATCAGCAATCGAGCTCAGAGTGGCAGTGCTGATGCTTTGAGGCCACAGTGACACCTTGTGTTGTGTGACCAAACAAAATTGGGCAGACTATATAGGTTAACATCTATTTTTTACAGTCTATGGTTAACACTCATAGCATACATGAACAGAAACTGCAGAAAATGTGTGAAAAAATACAGTCATACATAAATAGGGAAATAAAAGTAAAAATACCAATTTATTTGTACTTTTTTACATTTCTTTGTATATTTATTCATGTAATTATTTATGTATTTTGCTGTTTTACATTTGTCCGTATATTTATTTATTTTTAATTAAGTCAGCTTTGGCATTCCATACAAATAATCAATTTTTTTTTTTGTCCCTAATAGTCAATGTAATGCAGGGGAATTGTAAAATGAACTGCAGAAGTTCTAAACGTGCATCATAAAATTACAACACTTGAAATATAACTTTAAAATGTATGAATTAAACTCACTGAGACTGTCGACAGTTTATTTCCATGCATCATTTTGTTATCCATGCATGTGGTTACACAGTCAAATCATATAAAACAGTGAAATCGTCCTCGAACCAGTGTTGCCAACTTAGTGACTTTGTCGCTATTTTTAGTGACTTTTCAGACCCCTTTAGCGACATTTTTTCAAAAAAGCGACTAGCGACAATTTTAGTGACTTTTAGACAAACCTCAGTAACCTCCAAATGTTGCCAGTACTGTCCTGCGAGCGCGAGCTCTTGCTTTCTCCCTGTCGTCACTCTCTCTCGCTGCGTCTCCCCTGTTCAGTGAATGGCTGAGAGGAGCTGACGGCCGCTGACAGGCGTGAATGAGCTGTGTTTTTCCACAGACTTATCACTTATCTGCTTTTCTTTTGTTTTATATTTAAAGAATTTAGTTTGATCATTTTATTTCTTTTCTTGTGCTTGTAACCGTAACACTCACTATTAGAGCGTAGTTCATCCGGTTCTCTCTCAATTCAGATAATGTTCCACATAGGCCTACAAAAAATTTAATCATTCACTATATTATAGCTACTCGTTCTATTGTCTGACAACAAAAAAGATAGGAAATGAAAACAGCTTTATTTGACTTTCAGCTATATGAATAGAGCATTAATTTAGTGAGAAAACGCACTAGGCTGACAGGACGCAAGTACGACGTGATGATGTAATGAATATGCTAACTAGCGTTTGACGTAATTTAGCGACTTTTAGGGAAGGCCTTAGCTACTTTCCTGAGAAAATAGTTGGCAACAGTGCCTCGAACTGTCTTGCCTGCACTCGAGACAGTGATGCATGAGCTCCACTGAAAGTCTTCTTTCCTATTGGTTGTCGCTCGCAAAAATCGCTTCTCATTTGCATAAAGTTGAAATTTCTCAACTTTTGTCGATTGTCTCTTGTCGTCTGACACACCCACATTCTGTCGCCAACGGTCACTGTCGCTTGTGTCACCGGAAGTCGCCAGCACTCCATTGAAATGAATGGAATCATGTTGCTGTGACACTGACAGTGTGAACGTGGCCGTGATGTTTTTTGAAAATGCAGAAGGTTATCTGTGATAGGGTTAGTGTAGAGGGGTAGAATACACAGTTTGTACAGTAAAAAAAATTTATGTCAATGGCAAGTCCCCATAAAACATGAAAAAATAACATTGCTTGATCTGTTGAAATGAGAGGCCTGTTTGATCAAGTTGAAACCTTGTCATCCCTGTCTCATCAGCTGGACTGAAAGAAGCAAAACAGCGCTGTCAATGTCTAAGAACCAGATTTTATAAATGTTATTAGCCTGCATGCAAGGAGCCTATCTAATAAGGAGAGCTAAGTTATTATTAGAATACAGCTGGATTTTCGAGGTTAGCACACTGCATCTGGTAGTTAATATCAATGCATGCGCGTTTGTTACTCTGTTTATTGTTAATAAGAAAGCGATCTAAATGTTTATTGTAGTAATGTTAGATGTCTAGTGGACACAACGTGTAACAACAACCACAGGCTATAGTGGCATTGCGATCCATAAGAATGTGTAATGCCGTGAATATTTATAATAGGATAAATTTGGGCATTTAATATTCAAATATTATTAGAATATTACGTAAATATGAAATGGAATTCGAATAGTATTATAGAGGAAGATTGACAGCCCTGCTCTGAGGCCTCGAACCCGGTTCTCCGGCATGAGAGTCAGGCGTTCTAAAGACTGCAGCCTCTAGCGTCTGTCGCCAGAGCACCTATTGAGATCAGAGGAGTGAGGTTTACTCGCACAGCAACTACTAGCTGGCCTCCGTTACATTGACAGTATTGATTAGGGGTGTCATGATTCGCCAAATCCTCGATTCGGTTACATTTTTGATTAGGTGGTCAGGGTTCGATTCTCAATTTTTACTTGTGTTTTTATTTTTATTTTTTTAAGCACAAGTTTCTGATGCTCCTAAAAAGCTGACATCAGTTCATTGCGATCTCACACATCTCTGTTATTATCAAAGAAGCTGACTGCGCAATGAATCTTTCACAACACTTTTTGTTTGTTTGTTATAATTAGAGGATTTGCCAGCATTCAGAATTCAGCAAAAAGTAAGTTTTGAGCGGTGAGGGAAGTCTATCGTAAATGCTTCTGATTGGCCATTGCTTTCAAGAAATCAACATGTATGTGATTTGGTTAAATCGCTCAATGTTGCAAACATGTTATAAATAGAAACTCGGGCCAGTAAATCGTTTCTATTTTGTTTTAGTTGTTCTTGTTGCTTTTCTGCAACAGATAAAAGCAATTGTATTAGTTTTATTCATAGATATTTCTAGTTTGCAGAAATAAATATTATACCAATCATAAGAGCTGTGAAAATAAGCAATTAATATTAGGCATGACGAAAACTAAAAATTTTCTTGACCGACCACTGAGCCTCATTAGCCGGTTAAAACTGGTTAACCGATTGGTTTAAAATATGCGCACACACACAGCCCCAGCACCGTCCTTCCACTCATGTCACTTTTTGAAATCCCAATACAGCACGAAACACGAGTCCAGGGGGTCGCACACATTGCCGTGGCTCATTTAAGAAAATGACCGCTCCGAAGAGACGCCGCTTTAGTTTGAGGTAACGTTAACGTTAGTGCTAACAATAATAAAGAAAGATAATGATGATCATCACCACCTTATCTGTTACCACTGAAATGTAGATGTAATGTATTTCCAAATCTAAGCCCAGCAACTTACATCTGTGTCATTCTTTTAGGTGAAATGGTCCCGCACACAATTTTCTTTGCATGCTTCATCTTGTTGTCTGCCCTCGCTCTAACCTCAAGTGTTTTAGCCTGAAACCTTTACTTTTCGCAAATCTTATGAGCGCATGAACCCAAACGCTGTGACCTCGCGCCAATTTTTTTTTTTTAACCGAGTACCGACAACTTTGATCGGTTAGCGTTGATACGGTCAACCATCGGTCAAATGGTCATTGGTTAACATCCCTAATTAATATAGGAATATAAATGCACTTAGATCATAATCTTGTACAGCAGTTCTCATTCACATTTTGACTATTAACATGAGAATGACCAGACTAACCTTTGGTACATCAAAAATATGATATTTGATAAACAGTTCTCACTTGTTTTCTGTTATTAAATCAGGATTCACTTGAAAATTCACATTCATCCTCCAGAACTCATTCTAATAACATAATGTTTTAATGATTCAGACCCCTTGGAAGTGAAATAGCAAAGACAAGAACTGAAGTTAAAGGTGATGATGCTGTAGTTTGTTTCAGCCTGTTGACACCAATAAAACAATTTAATGCACCAATTTACAGAAGATCTCAGACATCACCATAATGAATGAGCTGAAAACAGGGAACTGTAAAGAGGTTTTTCAGCTGCTCAGTTTAACATGATGTCCGTGTACTTTTTAAATGCAGATTGGATAAAAACACATTGATCACAGTTCACACCTGCAGTGAAGCCCCTCCCACAATTCACCAATAAATACTGGGAATATTCCCATCATCCTACAAGAGAAGGACAAACTCCAGGAGTAGCAGCTGAAATCTGTGTGACTGTTAAAGATGGAGTTTATTAAAGAGGAGATTGAAGACATGAGTGATTCAGAGCCATCCGGAATAAAACATGAAGATACTGAGGAACAAATAGGTTGGTGTCCATTCTTGATTCTTCATTGTTGATGCTTTGGTAGATGTGAATTATTAAGCAGTATATGGATGATAAAGGATAGAGAAACGATCATAACCTTTAACAGTTGTCAAACAAATTTAGCTACCTACATGGTTCATGTAGGTTGTCTACAAACCGGAAGGTTGGTGGTTCAATCCCCAGTTCCACCTAACCAGGATTAGGTGGAAGCGTCGAGGTGTCGGTGAGCAAGACACCTAACCTCAGCTGCTCCCGACGAGCTGGATGGCGCCTTGCATGGCTGACACCGCCGTCAGTGTATGAATGTGAATGTGAGGCAATCTGTAAAGCATTTTGGTGGTTATTAGGTCTATGAAAGTGCTATATAAATGCAGTTCATTTACCATTTACCATTGTAACAAGTGAATGACAGAATAAGAAGTGAAAGATCTGGGGCCTCATTTATAAACGTTGCGTACGCACAAAAGAAGGCGTACGCTGCTCTCTACGCAATAGTTGGTATTTATAAAAAGCAAACTTGACGGTAAAATGTTTTGCGGTCCTTCACGCAAGCTCTGACCCAGGCGTACGCACAAAAACGGGTGAAACGAGAAATGGCGACACCGTCGGCAGTTGGAAAAAACACGTGAAGGTTTGTGAAACTGTAGACGGTTGTGTAAAATAATTGGCAATACTGCCTCTCATAAATAACACGAAGACTTCACAAAGCAAGTCTTACAATTAACAGAATACACGTTTGATCGATCTGCAACAGAAATGCAAATTAACACATCTTTCCAAAAATATAGTGAAATATGTTCTGCAATAATATCGACATGTTATACAATTCATCCTCATAAGATGGTAAACAAAACGAAATAATGTACAAAACTGATATTCTCGCCAATATGTCCGTCTAACGGAGCAGATATAGCAATTAGATAGTCAGTCAGAGATAGATAATTAGGGAGATATATAGATAGATCCATAAATAGATAGATGTATTATTTGTCCACTGAGGAAAGTTGTTTTCATAGTAAAATGTCTTCATCAGCTACAGAATCATGGTATTCGTGCATATGCCTTTAGTTTGTTTATTTTGATAAAATAGCGTATGACGTAGGTATGTCTCAACCATTCAGAAAGCTGCAAGAAATTACATTTGCGCTGAACTATTTCCCATTTCCAAATAGATCATAACCGACATCCATAGCTTGTCAGATGCAGAATTAAATGGATGTAAATAAAATGCCCCATCACAATGCGTATAATGACGCACAATGGCTGATCTCGAGCTCTTAGAAGATGTGGCGATTAAATGGAAGGATTCGGAGTGAATGCATCATCTTCACAACAAAAGGTGTGGAAAAATATATTATTTATTCAAGAATTCCCTCATTGTGCAGTTTATTTCAGTTAGGACAGTCTTGATTTCGCCCAACTCCTTGGCCACCTTGAATTAATGACTAGACGCTTTTTTGCCTCGACTTTGTCCGACCATTTCTTTTTTATTTTAGGCTTCAGCATTTACGGCGTCTGCAACCTTTTGCCACTCAAGTGCCTTTGTGCTCTCCAAACAACATTTTTCTCCTCTTTTCCAACTCTCCAACGATAACTTTTACTTCACATTGAGTGAAGTTACGTTTTTTTTGTTTAACATGATTTCGCAATCGTTGAATATTAACTTGTGGGCGTTTCACGGACTATTTATGGGCAACTATGGGCATGACATGAAGCCGCAAAAGCTGCGCTACATTTAGAACTGATTGTGATTTATTAAGGGAAAAATGCGTAGGATGTGCGTGCACACGGTTTTATAAATCCTAATATTTCTGTGCGTACGCACGTCCTATGTTTCATCCGTACGCCACTTCTGACGCAAATCCTACGCAAAGTTTTATAAATGAGGCCCTGATCTCTCTTGTTTTTTGCTATTAAATAAGGGTTCACTTGAACTGATTCTAACTGTATTTCTGTGTATTTTAGACCAGGTGAGAGTGAAAGAGCAAAGACAAGAACTGAATGAAGTGGAGGAGGAACATCGTAACTTTACAATTCAAAGAACAAAAGCCAAAAAGACGCACACCTGCACTCAGTGTGGAAAGAGTTTCACACGGAATGGAAACCTTGTCACACACATGAGAATTCACACTGGAGAGAAACCGTATACATGCACTCAGTGTGGAAAGAGTTTCAGAGATACATCAGGTCTCAGTGTTCATATGCGTGTTCACACTGGAGAAAAGCCGTTTAACTGTGATCAGTGTGGAAAAGATTTTATTTCATCATCAGGACTAAAACGTCATCTAGTAGTTCATTCAGGTGAGAAGCTTTATGTGTGTTCTCTCTGTGGAATGAGTTTTTCATGGCTGAACAGTTTTAAACACCACCAGAAAAGACACAATGGAGTGAGAGATTATGTGTGCTTTGACTGTGGGAAGAGTTTCACCAAATCAAGTCATCTGAAACTGCATCAACGAGTTCATACTGGAGAAAAACCTTACAAGTGCTCATATTGTGACAAGAGTTTCACTCAGTCTGGAAACCTGAAATTACACGAGCGAGTTCATACTGGACAGAAGCCGTACGACTGTACTCAGTGTGAGAAGAGTTTCACAAAGAAAGGAGACCTTGACAATCACATGAGAATTCACACTGGACAGGAACCGTATACATGCACTCAGTGTGGAAAGAGTTTTTCATGGCTCAGCAGTTTTAAACGGCACCAGAAAACACACAATGGAGTGAGAGATTATGTGTGCTGTTACTGTTGGAAGAGCTTTATTACACCTGCTGATCTGAAACGCCACCAAAGAATTCATACTGGAGAAAAACCTTACAAGTGCTCATATTGTGACAAGAGTTTCACTCGGTCTGGAAAACTGAAATTACACAATCGAGTTCACACTGGAGAGAAGCCGTACGACTGTACTGAGTGTGGGAAGAGTTTCTCACAATCAAGTAATTTAGTGACTCATATTAGAAAGCATTGTTCGGTGTCACAGTGAGCAAATATTTTGTTAGATTCACATAAAGTAAATGTGTGTAAGCAATAAGGTACTCGAGGCAAGTGCTGTTTCGTGAATAAGTAACGGCTGAAGGGCGTTGTTAGGCCTGATGTGAAGCGGAGTGCCTGCAACCCCTTTAGCCGTTACTTATTCAAGATACAGCACTTGCCTCGAGTACCTTATTGCTATTATAAAACGGTTGACACACAATATTAAAGTAAAAAAAAAAAAAAAAAAATTCAATAAAAACATTCCTTCCGTTAGAAAAATATAGTCCCTGACTGTGAACAACGTTCCAATGTGTAATATGCAGGAAAGCTCAAATAAAAACAACAAACATTCTCAAACTTTGTCTCATTCTTTTATTTTTTTTTACAACACAAAATTTGTGAAATTTCCTCACACAAATAGGCATAGCTTATCTCTCAGCACAATAACAAATAAATCTAGTTATTAATTTAGTTGCTTAAATGCTGCCTAACAAGCAGGGGTGTAAACCCAGATAGCAAACTGACATTGAATCAACGTGGAAACGACGTCTCTCATGACATTGAAACAACGTTGATTTTGCTCATCGAATTAACGTTGAACCAACGTCAGACGGGGCATTCTTCAAAGCTAAATGAAAATCGAAAATTGGTTTGCTTTCATAACGTTGAAACAACGCGTTGATTTCAAGTTGATTTTCCGTTAGTTTTGAAAGAATGACGCGTCTGACGTTGGTTCAACGTTAATTCGATGAGCAAAACAATGTCAGATCAACGTTGTTTCTATGTCAAATGTCCACGTTGATTCAATGTCAGTTTGCTATCTGGGAAGTAACGAATTACAAATACTCACGTACTGTAATTAAGTAGTTTTTTCAGAAATTGAAAATTTTACTTTAAAGGCTAAAATGTTTAAAGTAAATTTCAATTTACTAGGTGGCATGACGATGGATAAGTGGTTTGAGGAACAATTTGGAGAGACTTCTACAAATACGAACCGTCATGCTGAAGTGCTGAAATCAAATCTAACATTTCCAGATAGCAAACTGACATTGAATCAACGTGGAAAATGACATCGAAACAACATTGATCTGGCATTGTTTTGCTCATCGCGTTGAACCAACGTCAGACGCGTCATTCTTCAAAACTAACGGAAAATAACTTGAAATCAACGTTGTTTCAATGTTAGGAAAGCAAACCAATTGCAAACTAATTACCAATTTTCATTTAGCTTTGAAGAATGCCACGTCTGACGTTGGTTCAACGTTAATTCGATGAGCAAAACAATGCCAGATCAATGTTGTTTCGATGTCATGAGAGACGTCGTTTCCACGTTGATTCAATGTCAGTTTGCTGTCTGGGTTGATGCATTCGAGAAGACTCGTAATAAAAAAATACCGTGTAGTAGTGATGCGCGGGTCGACTCGTAACCCGCGGACCCCGCGGGTCGGGTTTGAGCGGGTAAAGAAATTATCACTTTATTTGCGGGGCGGGTTGGGGCGGGTCATTAAGTTTTTTTTTTTTTTTTTTTTATCCATGTATGTTGCTTGCAATTTCCAGCCTGTATAAAATATTTGGAATGTCTATTTTCATATTTTATAAGGTTACAATACGATTGCCGTAGCAACGTAACTTGCGTGAGGTTCCCAAACCTTTGGTGTCACGTGACGAAAGCGCCGCGTCAAGCAGCTCCTGCCGACAGACGCGACTGCCTCGACAACAACAACAACGGAGAAATATAAGTGAAGATGGAAGACGAGGTGCGGGAGAAATTGAGGTCGGGAATATACATGATTAAAAGAAAAAAAAGGTCAGGCTGCTAAATCTAATGTTTGGGAGCGGTTCTCAGAAGTAGTTGCAGCAGGAGACAACAGTAGTCTCGGCTACCTGAAGTGCAACTCGTGTGAAAAATATACAAACAGTAGCGCCACAAAACGGGCACTTCCAGCATGTCAAGACATATTTGTGGGGGTCTAAGAAATAAAAAATGGTTTAGCCTATTAGATGAATACAAATGCTGCTTTGTAAAAGTTGAAAATGTTTATGACCTGATTTATGGTTAATATTCACAAACGTCTGTTGTTGCCAGTTAACAGGGCAATGTTTCCAAGCACTTTCAGGCTGAAATAAAGGCTGTTTTCATTTACATTACAATGACTAGTAGCTACTATGTCTATTTAATGGTCGCGGGTGCGGTGCGGGGCGGGTTGTAAAAATAGAGAGAGTGGTGCGGTGCGGGCTGGGCGGGCCAAATAATTTCATAAAAGCGGGACCCGCGGGTTGGAAAAAAAGCCGACCCACGCATCACTACCGTGTAGCAAACCCAATGGGCAAATGCTTCGGCGACTGGTATAGTGACAGGTGTGTTGCGATTAAGCACATCGGACAGTTTTATTGTGCTGAAATCTTTAGTAGAAATCGGTGTGTGATGCTCCGTTTTATCACGACCCTCTCTTCTCATTGTCTTTACGACTCCAACGAAAACATTATTGGATGAGATGAATTCACTGTCTCTCATCAGACACCAGGACAAACTCAAAGGTGGATCATTCAGGAATCTGTTCAGACCCGCACGTAACGCTATATAGCTACTGATCCCATATTTTTCTCCTTTGTAGCTTCTGACAGTTCCGTAGAAGTCACGGAGAAGTGCGTTGAGTTCCGTCTTGGTGATTTGTTTAAAATCTATGCTGCAACCCTTTTCACTACACCAGTCACCGAAGCATTTCACTGCCCATTGGGTTTGCTGCACGGTATTTTTTTTCATTACGAGTCTTCTCGAATGTGTCAATGTTACATTTCAGCACTTCAGCATGACGGTTCGTATTTCTAGAAGTCTCTCCAAATTGTTCCTCAAACCACTTATCCATCATGCCACCTAGTAAATAGAAATTTACTTTAAACATTTTAGCCTTTTTAATTCTTAAGTTTTTTTCTATGTTTAGCCTATGTTGATATGTGTGGTTGCTAAGGGCGCAGTGATAAATAGAACTGTTGGGTGAAGCGGTCATAGCCAGGTTTTATCATGAATAAAGCACAGCTCTTGACCAATCAGAATCAAGGATTGGAACTAACCGTTTTATAAAGTTAGTTAACTAATAAACTAGTGTTGCTGTGAAATGCCACAAGATTTGTGTTTTATATGTTGGAGAACAAGAAAATGATTGAAAAATTATTTTAATTGAACACTTACTCGAAGAAAATAAATAATGAAAATAGACTGTAAAGAAATGCAGAAAAACAACAACAATCAAGTATATGTTCATAAGTCAAAAAAATAATTTTGCAATTGTAAAACTATCATCAAAGTCAAATTATCGGCCAAAATTTCTTTTTCTTTCTTTTTTGTTTGGTCTAAAGTAAAAACGCAGAAAAATATGGAAGCTTGTTTCCGCCACTGAATGAAAAAATAAATAATAATAATTGTGACTTTTTATCTCACAATTGTGAGATATAAAGTCAGAATTGTGAGAAATAAAGTCATAATTGTGTGATATAAAGTCAGAATTGCGAGATATGAAATCAGAACTGCGTATTGTAAAGTCGCAATTGCGTGTTACTGTGCGTTCACACTGGACGCGAATAGCATGTCAAATTCGCATCTACCGCGTCTAGTTTGACGCTTGACCACTTTCTTGACGCGCAGAATCGAAACCCGGCCATCTTTTTTATGTTGATCGAGCATTCATCGAGAGAGTCACCGCTCTGGAGAGCAGAACAGTGCCGTGGGGATCATCGTCGCCGTATTTGTGTCCATCGGACCTTTCAGAGGCGAACTGTTTGGCGAGTTTCACCATTTGCTCTCTCCAGGAGCTGCGCTGGATGACGGCCGCTGTCAGCGGTACTTCCGCTTGTCCCACGCCCAGTTTGATGACCCGTTGTCCCGCATCGGAGCGAGGATCACCCTCGCCCTCATCCATCTAATCTGTCATTTTTTTGATGATAAATAGAGCCAGCCTCCAAAAGTTATTAACCTGTCCTGTGATTTTTTTTTCTCTCTCACATCCAGACACGAACGTATGCACATATGTTGGTTGTCTTTACATCATAATAATATTTAAAATAATCTAGATATGGAATAAAAAACATTCAATACAAAATGAAAATGTCTCGTATATTGAAATAAAGTTTTGAGTGATAAAATATTTGCTTTGTTGTGCCTTAGAACCACACGCATTTAGTCGTATTACAAAATAATTTATTGAAGCATCCAAATACTTCACCACGTGAGCAAGCAGCAGGCTCCTGATTGGTTAACGCAGTGCAAATTTGACGCCAAAGTTCAGATTTTCAACTCGGCGGCAGGTGCGAATTTGCGTCAAACGCGTGAATGCACAAATAGCACTAAATAAATCATTCACGCTTAAGGCCAATTTATACTTCTGCGTCGAGGGTACGCCGTAGTGTACGGCGTTGGCTACGCACGTAGGCGACGCCGTTGTGAGCATTTATACTTCTGCGTTCAGGTCTTGGTTGCTCTGCAGTACTGCTCCGAAACGCTAGTTGGCGGCGGAGAGTTTTAATGTTCCACTGTGTTTAGATTCCTCGCGGCTAGGTTACTACGAGTGAAAGAGAGCTGATCATGTTGGAATTGGAGCTTATTAAGGTGGAAAAACAGTTCACTTTAGTGAAATTACTAAAACTGAAAGGCAGAAATGAGAGAAGACTTCGGAGGAGATGAAACTTGTGGAAATCATAGACAGTGGTGGAAATGCGTGAGAAGGTACGTGCGGAAATGCGTAGGAGGAAATGCGATGCTACCAAGCCGACCAATCACCGATCTTGCGGTCCGCGTCGTCGCGACGTGTAGTTACATTTTTGAGGAGGTGCGCGTCAGGCGACGGCGAAGGGTACGCGGTATGGGACGCGTCTGTGCGTATGCTACGCCGTACCTACTGCGCGCACCCTACGCAGAAGTATAAATTGGCCTTTAATGCACCAGACGCTCAATCCGCGCCATTCGCGTGATCGAGGCGTATTCATGTCTACCGCACCATGCTATACGCCTCATTCGTGCCGCAGGAATTTTGTACGCGTGTAATGCGTCTTTGCATTGACTATACATTGAAATCATTCGCGTCTGACGTGCTATTCACGTCCAGTGTGAACGCACCATTATAAAGTCAGAATTGCGTGTTATAAAGTCGCAATTGCGTGTTAAAGTCAGAATTGCGAGATCTAAAGTCAGAATTGCACGATATAAAGTTTGCAATTCTGATAAAAAAAGACAGAATTGTGATCAATTCTATTATCTCACAATTCTGACTTTTTTCTCACAATTGCGAGTTTACATCTTGGAATTCTGACTTTATAACAAATAATTGCGAGTTTTTATCTCGAAATTCTGAGTTCTTTTCTCA